TTTCGGTTAACGAACGAACCTCTGGAACGAATTGTGTTCGTTAACCGAGGGACCACTGTACTGTAGTGTGACTAAAAATAAAAAAACATAATAGATGATAAAAGTGATACATGTGTGAGTAATATTAATTTACCAAGCCAACCTATACAGTCATCCCTTGGTTATCATGTCTAATTGGGACCGCGAGGAGTGCATGATAATGAAAAACGCGATAACAAAAGTACAGAACCTATGGGATTTATTCTAATTGGTTCCAGGCACCAAAGACCCAACCCCAATTTTCCCATTTGACGACCATTTAGACCCACTAAAGATATAGATAATGTTATGGTAAGTATCAGAAACACACATAGGCATGGCTAGGGTTATTACAAAGTGATGAAAAGGGTACGCTTAATACTGTAGTCCACAAAACATGTAGCTATGCTTTCTTTATTTGAGTCCCCCGTCTGAGGAGTCCGTTTTCTCATCGCTTCAGGACGCCTGAGTCCTCCGTTTTCTCTCAATCATAGAGTGCACCCGAGACTTCGTTATTCCTTAGTAATGACACAGAATTTGAAATTGCAACTGGTGTTGCAATTGTTGAGGCAACTTAGATATGTCTGATTACAGCAAATGTGTTATTGTCAATTTGTAGGTGAAAGAATTTATTCTCAATAGATGTAGGTGAAGCAAGGGGGTAACAATACACCTGGAGGCAACTGCGTGATAACGAAATTCTTGGCTTGAAAAATGCGCTATAACAGCAGGTGTGCAGATTTTGATGGAGGCGTGATAACGAAAATCGCGATAACCAAGGGATGACTGTATAACACCCTTCTCATGTGTGTCCAAGCCGAGGCTAAAACCCTTAATATATTGGCGAGTTACGTGCATTACCACTAAACAAAACATGTTGAACCAATGTGAAAATTTTATTTTAATTTCATTCAATAAATCTATCTATCTAACGAAACTCAAAATGTGTACAATTTTATAATTAAAAATACTGTATGTATACAGTAATTCCTAGATTCGACCTTGAGTCACCCACACAACCACGCAGAGGGTGAGTCAGCTGTTCAATCCACAACCCCACACACTTTAATATACGGTGATAGATTACTTTGTATAGGTTGGCTTGGTAAATTAATATTACTCACACATGTATCACTTTTATCATCTACAGGTTGACAATCCCTTTTCCGAAATCCTTGGGGCCAGAGGCATTTCAGATTTCGAAATTTTTCGGTTTTCAGAATGGTTAGTTTTTTGTTTCTATAAGTTCACCCAGGCATAGATCACTGACCCACATCGGGGCCTAGGGAAATAATAATAATAATAATAATAATAATAATAATAATAATAATAATAATAATAATAATAATAATAATAATAATAATAATAATAATAATACTGTAATAATAATTCATAGGTCTTGGTCGCATTTCTCACTTTTGATTTTTTTTTCATTCTTGTATTTCTTTATTATTATTATTATTATTTTATTACAGTATTATTGTTATTATTATTATTAATAATTTTATTATTATATTTTATTATTACTATTACCCGGTATTATTATTATCATTATTATTTTATTTTGGTGTACAGTATTTTAATTAAAAATTTTATTTACTATGAATAATTATTATTATAATTATTATTACCATTACATTTTTGTAATGTGTATGTAGAAGGTTCCTGGTTGATGATGATGATGATTAGAATTAGAAATGGGGTGGAGAAGGGAGAAGAGAAGGAAGTGGGGATGGAGGAGAAATTACCTTTCTGGGGAACCCATGCTTGATGCCGTCATTTCACCAATACAATTTTAATTTCACTAGTAGGTGTAATTCAAGATTATTTTATTTATATCAACACTGCACTGCGCTATATATTATCAATATGTTAACTAAATTTCAGAATGACCCAATAATTTTAATGAAAAATGCGAAAATATTCAAGACACAAACAAAATACCTGTAGATGTTCACTCCACTGTCAACAAAGCCCAATGACGCCTTGTGGCTGAGTCAAGCTGCTGATGGGCGCACAAAAAGCTAGTTCCCTGTACAGTATAGTCTGGATTTATGCGGATTTCCTTTACGCGTTTGTTAATTTACGCGGCACCTGGCCAGACCGGCAATTATTAGTTACGCGGTTCATTCCATTATTTACGCGGGCAGGGTGTGCACTAGGTTGCCCAGTCAACAAAACATTACCGAGTTCTTCAACCGTCACCCACCACAGCCAGCCCAAGTCAGTGATAGTGAGGATATGGACTTTGAGGGGTTTGACAAAGAGGCCCTGCTAGTCTCTGTGGTGGATAGTGATACAAGTGAAACAGGTGAGGGCCAATAATCTGCCCTCTGCCTCGGAACCAACCCCCCATCCCCATATGCCCAGCCATCTCTTCTACTAACGTAAATGTTAAAATCCTAATATTATTGATATTTCTCTTAAATATTAATTGTGTGTGCATACCATCATAAAATTAAGATGTTATTTTTACTACAACGTGCATAACGTATTGTGTCTGGGTGAAGTATAATTTGTTTATTTACTTGAGATATTTGTTTTTAGCTCATAAAATTCATAGAAATTACCCAGCCAGAATATAATTTACATTGCTGGAATTCTTATAAGATAGTGATTAATTTGAATATAAACAAGCTAATTTGCATTAGACATACAAATTTTAGATCTAATTTAAGAATTTTATTAGAGAGAGCAAAAATTTTATCTTTTGTGCAAAATATATGAAGTTTATATTCAAAGTATTCGCTGTCTTGCAAGGAATCCAGCAATGTAAATTATATTCTCCTAACTATAGTCTGAGGTATTATTTATTACTAAACCTAAAAGCCTAGTCTTTTTCCCAAAACATTTCTCGGGAAGGTGGTGGGTAGGGAGGGAGCCAGCGAGCATGGGAAGAGGAGGGGAGCGGGAGTCGAGTCCATTATTTGAATGGACATTAACCGGCGACTGTATTTCTCTTAAATATTAATTGTGTGTGCATACCATCATAAAATTAAGATGTTACTTTTACTACAACGTATGTATTGTGTCGGAAAAAGGGTAGTCTGGGGTCGGCCCAGTCTCTATTTCAATTAATCCCATATGTTCTATTATTTCGTTTACGCGTTTCTCGTTTTACGCGGACTTCCACGGGTTCAATTGACAGCGTAAATCCAGACTATACTGCACTGCATATATTATCAATCTGTTAAATAAATATTAAAATTACGAATAATTTTAATATAAAAAATGCAAAAATATTCAAGAACACAACTTTCTTGATATTTACTCCACTGGAAATGAATGTTTGTTAACCGAATTGAAGATTCATATGGAAGGTAATTCGTTAACCGAAATTTCGTTAACCGAACCGTTCATTAACCGAGGGCCCACTGTACTTTATTAAGTTACTTGGTAGATATATTGCAAGTTAAATAAAAAAACGTGGCAACTTTGCAATGAGTGGTCAGTTGCACGGACTGTGATTGGAGAAATTTACTTTGCTCATGCATAAATATTTATGGCATGTGATGCAGCTACTGAATTTTGGTATTTTAAAACATACAAACATGAAAAAAATAAATGCTTGTATTTATTATAATAAAATACAGTACCAAATTCAAAGTGTATCAATTGGTGTAAATATTTGTAAGCAGGGTAATTGGGCACAAATGACCCAGCCACGCAGCTCATGAACTCCGCCAGCAAAGATATTACCACCACCACTCCACACCCCGTCAGATAGATATTTATTGAGTTACCTGTATATGCCTGAAAGGTAATACAGTGAACCCTCACTTTACGCGGTTAATTCAACCCACAGGGTACCACGTAAAGTGAGAAACGCGTAGAGTGAACAACATAACATATGAGATTAATTGAAATAGAGACCGGGCCGACCCCCAAACTCCACTTTTTCAGACACAATACCTACGTTGTAGTAAAAATAACTTCTTAATTTTATGATGGTATGCACACACAATTAATATTTAAGAGAAATATCAATAATATTAGGTTTTTTAACACTTACATTAGTAGAAAAGATGGCTGGGCACATGGGGATGGGGGGTTGGTTCCGAGGCAGAGGGCAGATTATTGGCCCTCACCTGTATCACTTGTATCAATTGTATCACTATCCACCACAGAGGCTTGCAGGGCCTCTTTGTCAAACCCCTCAAAGTCCATATAAGTCCATATCCTCACTATAATTATCACTATCACTGACTTGGGCCGGCTGTGGTGGGTGGCGGGTGAAGAACTCGGTAATGTTTTGATGACTGGGCGACCTTGTGCGCACCCTGCTCGCGCCGCTTACACTACATGGCGGATGGCGGGAGAGGGCAGGAGAGATGGCGGGAGGTTTGGATCAAAAAATGGCGCGGCTCGCCAGCCGCTCTCCGCGTAAAGGGGTACACGCACCGCGGAATGTGAGCATTCCGGTTTCGGCAGGGTACCGCGTAAACATGGAAACGAGGAATGTGGGACCGCGTAAAGCGAGTGTTGACTGTATAGTAGGCCACTAAACAAGCAGGAATATAATGATAGTGGTGATGATACACAACCCTCGCATGTACAGTCTCCTCGACTTACGAAGGGGTTCCGTCCCGATGACCAGGTCGTAAATCGAATTGGTCGTAAGTCGAAAAGGCCATTTTAAAGGGAATTACAAACAAAAATTTTGTCAGTACACTGCACAATCACTAAAGTCGGGACTCCAAAATACGTAATGTGAAAAATATTTTATACAACCATGGCCGTCGTATATCCAGGTTGTCGTAAGTCGAATACAGTATGTCGTAAGTCGAGGAGGGACTGTAGTTGTTAGAAGCTCGTTATCACAATTTTTTCTCCTGGAGGGACCCCAACCATGCTTATGGCTTAACCGTGCAAGTAAACCACCCCTCAAGCACGGTAAAATGATCGTCTACTGTATACTGCATAAAAAAAATTATGAAGTCAACTGAACCAAGAATATTAATGATAGTTACACTCATACTTACTCCGTGCCTTCTCTTCGACAGCCCAGACTCTGGATTCATACTCTAAAGCGAGCTTGCCAATCCCAGACCAACATTTTTCAGGTGTGAGTTGATCAAATTGAGGTAACCCATCTGTACGGAGCAACACATTGTCCTCTGGAGTGTCTACTGGATTTTCTGGAAGCCTGTAAATACATTCAATATATTTTAACACACTTCAAAAGACAATACATACTGGTATGTAAGAACTTGTATTAACACTCAGAACTCCTGATGTTCCAGTAAAGAAAGATGGTAATCAGCATGCACCATCTTTGCTTGAGTATTTCTTGATGAGAAAACATAGGAACAAAAAACCTGAGTAAGAAAAGTGCTATACATTGAAGTGATTTGCTTTATTCTTGAGGTAAGCAGTGAGGGAAATCTTCTATTTAATGGGTAGGCATAAAATCACAAGCATCACTGATATTTGGTAAAACTGGTAACTCCTGAAGTAATGGATACTGCCATATTACTGTACAGGTAAACCTCAAGAAACGATATCCCGAGATGCGATATTACACTTTAACAATGGTTATAAATTAACACCATCTCGTTATATACGATGAAAACAACTAGCTTTAGTGATATCCATAAGCCAGATTGTTTTCTCAAGTGCAAACTATGGGTTGTGTATACTCAAATTAATTACTGTCTTGCAAGGATTCCAGCAATGCAAGTTATATTTTTCAATGTCAAGTCAGTCACATTTTATAAGGAAACAATATTTAACCCTTTGCATGATGCACCTCTACCTTCACTTGTAAACCTACCTACCCACGCACCGCCATACGGCCATCCCACATACTACAGCCCAGTGTTTGGTTCTTTGTCAATCATAAACCCATCACCGCATCATAGGTTTTTTTTATATAGTGAGAGGACAGCACTAACATTTAGATTGAACTGTGTTATGGTGAATGTGAAATTATATTTTCTGTATTTTTGTGATTGTAAAGTGTGTCGACTGTTTTCGTGAACATGTGTTCTGTGCGTGTTGACCGATGTCATTATTCTTACGCTGTCATCCCTGGTTTTTTCTTCCAGTTAGGTATACACGACAGGTTAATACTGTAAATTAGAGTACAGGGAGTATTATTTTTGCTCAGTTAATGTGACTGTGAAGTGAGAAATAGTGCAGATACATTGGAGTACAGTACACTACAGGTTAATACTGTACATTACAGCAATATTTTCACTCGGTTTTTGTGACTGTGAAGTGATACAGGTACCTGTACTACCTGTAGTACCTGTACAGTTAGTGAAAATGGTTAGCAAGTGTGTTGCTGAGGCCCCTGCATTGGCAAAGGCCAAAACACCCAGGAAAACTGTCTCTCTGAAGGTGAAGCTTGACATTGTGAAGGAGCATGAGATGGGTGAAGGAGCATACTCTATTGCTAGAGCACTTGGTCTGGTCCAGTCTACCATCATCAAAAAGGCACCAGAAATGAAGACTGTGGAGGAGAATGTTACCTCAGTTTCCACTTCTAGATTACTAAGGAAGCGTAAAAACCAATCACGGATAGGATGGAGAGGCTACTCCAAGATTGGATTCAGGACCAGACTCGACACCACTTGCCTCTCTCCAGTGATCATCATGGTGAAGGCCAGCAACAGCTGGGTGATGTTGAAGGCAGAGAGCAGTGAGAGCAGAGGAGGTGATGCCCCTTTCAAGGCAAGTCCTGGGTGGTTTCAGCAGTTCAAGAGGTGTGCCAATCTCCACAACCTTCATCTGGGTGGTGAGGCAGCCAGTGCTGACATCATGAGTACTAATGCCTTCCCAGCACTCCTGAAGGCTAAAGTGGAGGAAGGAGGATGCACCGCCAAGCAGGTCCTGAACTTCGACAAGACAGGCCTGTTTTGGAAGAAGATGACATCAAGGACCTTCTTGGTCGAGGAGAAGACTGCACCAGGCTTCAAGGCAGCCAAGGAGTGTCTTACTTTGCTGCTTGGAGGCAATGCTAAGGGGGACCTTAAGTTGACTCCCATGCTGGTGTATCATTCCAAGAACCCTAGAGCTTTTAAGGAACACATCCCAGTCATCTGGCGCTCCAACAAGAAGGCCTGGGTTATGATGGTGTTGTGCCAGTTATATGGTTGGTTACCTCTCCAAGCACTTCAAGGAGTATGCCGAGAAGCAGAACATTGCCAACAAGTTTCTCCTGATCCTTGACAATGCACCATTACACCCGCCTACGATGAGTGAATGTGAAAAATGCTTATTTATGGAGATATGACCTCATTACTCTAACAACGACAATAATTTCTTCCAAAGCAGGCAGAGCTTTGAGGACGAGGGAAAATGTGGGGTATCAGAGGACAGTTCAAATTTCCGAGGAGATTTATAAATGTGCAAAAATTTTATCAAGAGGTATTCAGTCGCATTAGGACTCCCTCATGACCTTAACACCAAAAACAAGAGACTCGCCAACAAATCACTGAAAACACAAAAAAAAGGAGAATCATTTTTGTTTCACCACCTGTTAAATAAGATTAGATTAGATAAGGTTTAGTGTTTTGATGTGTTTTAACCCAAAATTTTCCCTCATCTTCCAAGCCCTGCCCACTTTGTAAAATTCATGGTTGTATATCTTTGTACCTGTATATGCATTTCCCATGGAAATAAAGGTCATATTCATTCAAATTACCATAAAAAATAAAGAAAACCTATTTTGTTTATTAAATTCCCTCTAAGAAATAAAATGAATATTTGCCTAAATACTTCCTCCTCAAACAAACTTAACTTACCGGGAGAATAAAATTTAGAATAGAACGTGAGTTACAGTAATATCTCCGTTAGCCAGAATCCCTCAAACCCGGAACTCACCGATAGCCGGAATTGAAATTTTCTCGGAAAATTGTTCCCAAAGCCAGAATTTTCCGTAAAATTCCGAGAAAATTTTCCAGGTACCCGGAAAATTCCGGAGATGGGTGAGATCTTTTCCGGGTTTGAGAGATGAAAATCAGGCACATTTTCTGGAAATTCCGAGAACTCCTGGATTACAGTTCTTACCCAACTCCCTGAAATAATTTCCTTTTAGTGTTTGAAAAGTAATGTAATATTTTTTTCATATTTACAGGGAAAGTGTTTAGTTTTCAAAAGCCATTACTGTATCAGGCTATACAACCTCATTATAGTGACAATATAAAACATAGCCACACAAATAATCGAAAACAAACATAATTACCATTTGAGACTTTTTTTTTGCTATTTTCTCAAAAACTATTGGTCAAACCAGAAATCTGAATACTGCTTTAGAAAGCTCATAAAATTCTACTTCTGACAGTGTAAAGTACTTAAAAAGTTGGCAGACACAATTTTCAGCTTGGAGGTTGTGAACATATTTTGTGTATTTTTTATCATGTTTCTTAGAAGACGAAAAATAGCTATACAGATACCCTGTATACAGTAAACCCTCGATAACTCGGTACATATGGGGCTCTGGCCTAGCCGAGTTATCCCATATTCAGACTTATCACAGCACTTTCCCCTCTCCTACCAAAATACAATAAAAAATTATCGACCCATGTATGTGTACATGTACAGTAATCACTAAATGTAAAAAAATGTACTAAGATTAACAAAAACTTCAAGAGAAATACTTGAAACGTACAGAAAAAGAAAATGAGATACTTTGGTGATATAATTAGGGGTGGGGGAATAATAGCAGAAATATTAATGGGCAAAGTTGTGGGTAGAACAACAAGGGGAAGGCAGAGACTAGGATGGATGAATGAAATTAAAAACTGGGTCCCCAGAGGGTAAAATTATCATTTCAGTCATGCGCATATTTTTCGAAGGTCAGAATCATTCAAAACACATAAAAAACCATTGGAAATATAATTTCAACCTAACTTAACCTAACCCTAAATTTGCTGCATGACCAAAATGATTATAATATCCTCCAGAGATACAAAACCCCATCAGAAAAAGTTTTGAATCTAACCTAACCAAGGGAGCTCCACAGTCATTTGATGTTCTGGGTGTGTACCACCACATACGTACTGTACTGTACATACATAATAAAATGTTAAATATCTCGCTTAAGCGTAATTTGCGCCAGAAATGCTATTGAAGAAAAGTGTCTTAGAATTGTCAAAATTACTGATTACAACTATAAAATTCATGAGTGGCAACAACTGAAAGGTAAATTTTCATATACAGTCATGCGCCGGTTAATGTCCAACTGAACAACGTCTGATCGATATACGTCCGTGCCCCCCCCCCAAAAAACACTTCCGTGACGCCTGCTGGACCATCACTCCACGACCCCCTGACGGAGACACGATGATCCTTCCCAAACTGGCCAGATATTATGTGTTAAAGGAACATCCTTCCTTAGGCTTTCGTAAGCAATTGCCTCCAGGTGTAATGTTAACCTACATCTATTGAGGATAAAATCTTTCACCTACAAATTGACAATAACACATTTGCTGTAATCAGACTCACTTACTTGACAAGTTTTACCAACCATTAGTTGTGTACGTTATCTAGTGAATTTAGTCAATATTGTACAGTACAAGTACACTGCAATACAGGGGTCCCTCGGTTAACAATGGGCCTAAGTGCAAACCTGTATTGTACATGTACTAAATGATTACGGTACTAAAATTGTTATGTCTATTGCAAATATAGCTTGTTTATACAGGTATTCAAATAAATCACTATCTTACAAGAATCCCAGCAATGTAAGTTATATTCACCCAGGTCGTCTGGGTGGAAAATTATGAGAAGAGCTTAGTCACTCTTAAGGAATGATAAATAAACACGCAGGCCTTCAGCGCCAACTGTCAAATCATATCGCCTCACCCCCCCCCACGGTCCCTCGCGTGGGGGGTTTTAGGCCTTAAGTTTTTTATATAATATCTCAGACTATAGGAGAATATAATTTGCATTGCTGAAATCCTTACAAGACAGCGATTAATTTGAATATAAACGTTATATATTTTGCTCGAGATAAAAATTGTAGTACATTAGTGTACATTTTATAATATAAAGTTTTTCAACTGTATTTTTGGGTAGATTTACATAAATTTCTTCATTTATTTTCATCCATTTACATGCACACACCAAACTAAAAGAAACGTAAAAGAAATAAATGACCTTAGTGCAAAGCTGGAGTGTACGTACATGTACTAATTTGAT